AAAATTGAAACGAAAAATTGCAAATAGAAAAATTAAAAATTGAAAACTCGAGAATCTCAATTCGAAAAATTGCAAAATCTACAAATTGAAAAATTCAAAAGTTGAAAACTCTCGTATTTACGCCATTGGATTTTACTTTATAATCATAATCAGAAACCAAAAATTGCAAAAAAAAATAAATTTTTCGAAAAAGTGGCTGCACTCCAAAGGCGAGGGAAATCCTGTTGAAATAACCTTCGACCAATTTTTTATTAAACCATCTCGTTTCCACGTGTTTTTTTGCAAAAATTAAAATAAACTCAGATTTTTGGAATATCGTAGGGAATCTCGGATTTCCGGGTTTTGTTTTTTTTTTTATATATATAATTAAAGTAAAACTAACGTCAAGTTTCTCAGAGTTTTTTTGTTTAAGAATCAAATAAAATCTCTCACATTCTCCGAAATTTTTTTTTTAATCTTGGAAAACCCCGATGTTTTGTTTTTGAAAAAAATTGAAAGCATCTGGAGTTTTCAAGTTTTATTTTTAACAAAATGATTCCAGACTCTTTGTTTTTGAAAATATAAAAATAATCTCCGCGTTAAGAGTACTTTTTATGTTTTTGGGTAATGTAATTTTGTAAGTAAAAATACTTCCAGACTTACAATAGAATCCGGATGTCTTTTTCTTGAAAAATCTCAAGTTTCCAGCTCTTTCCTTTCATAATTAAATACAATCTCAACTTCTCATATTAAAAAAATATAAAATACCTGCCAGGTTTTTTATTTTTTGAAAAATTAAAAATGATCTCAGCTTTCGGAACTATTTTTTTAAGAACCGTCTTAAAAAAATCTTATCTTTTGTTTCTGTGTTTCTGGTTTTCGAGCTTTTTTAAATAAAGAATCTTAGGTTTCTACGTGTTTTTTTTTTGCAAAAATAAAAAACCAATCTCGGCTTTGCGAAAAGTTTTTTTTGACAGAATTGAAAAGAATTTTGGAAACCTCAGGTATTCTGTTTTTGAAAGAAAAAAATTAAAAATCTCAAATTTCCGAGTGCTCTTTTTTAAATAAAAAAAGTTAAATTAACTTCAAGTCTTAATTTAAAGTGTTGGGAATCCTGAATATTTTGCTGAAAAAAAAAATCTAAAGTTTTGACTAATGAAAATCCAAAATCTCCAAATGGTTTTTTACCAAAAAAATTTGAAAAAATCTCGCGTTTCTGAATGTTTTTTTCTTGAAAAAAATTAAAGGACTTCAGGATTTCGAGTTTTTTTTTAATATTTGAAATAAATTTCGGCTTTCAGAAGAGCTTTTTTTATGTCAGATTAACTTCTTTTTTTAAGAAAATCTTGAGAAAATGGGGCTTCCAAGAGCTTTTTTTTTGCAAAAAGTTGAGAGTCGCGTGTTTCCGAATATTTTATTCTTGAAAAAAAATCTCAAGTTTCCAGGTGCATTTTTTAAAATAATTAAATATAATATAGGGTTTCCGAGTGTTTTTTTTCCTTAATTAATAGAAATGTTAGGTTACTGAGTTTTTTTTTTAACAAAATATGTCTTGAGTTTTCGAGTATTTTTTTATTATTAAAAAGAATATTGTAAAATCCTGCTAAAATAAAAAGATTCTCAGAATAACAATTTTTGTTTGAAACAAATTTTTAAAGAATCCGTGTTTCCGAATGTTTTTCTCTTGAAAAATCTTCCAGTCCTTTTCTTTGATAAGTAAATAGAATCTCAACTTCTCAAGTTTTTTTTTATTACAAAAATATAAAATACCTAAGGTTTCCGAAGAAAAACTTGAGAGGATCCCTGGTGTTTTTGTGGGCTCTTTTTTTATCTAAAGAGAATTTCAGGTTTCCAAGCGTTTTTTTTTTGCAAGAATTTGAGAGTGTTGGTTTTCCGAATATTTTTTTCTTGAAGAAAATCCTGTTTCCACGTGTTTGTTTTAAATAATTAAATACATTCTCGGATTCCAATTATTTTTTTTATTTTTATTAAAAAGAATACTGAAAAATCCTGCTTTTCAGTACATATATTTTTTTTTATTGAAAAAATTTCGAGTTTCCGAGTGTTTCTTTTTTTTTAACAGAATTAAAAAGAATCTTGAGAACCCTAGGCAGTTTCTCAAAAAAAATCTCTGCTTTTGGAGTTTTAATTGAAGAGAATTTCAGACTTTCAAGCGATATTTTGCAAAAAAATTTAAAATCTCGGGTTTTCGAATTTCTTTTCTTGAAAAAATATTGTTTGCACGTGCTTTTTTGAAAACAATTTTGTAAATTACCGATTTCCGGGTGTTTCTTTCTTTTAACACAATTAAGAAACGCCAGGTGTTTGTTTTTTTTAATAAAAACAATCTCAAGTTAACATTTTTTTAATTTGAACAGTTAAAGAGATTCTCAGATTTACAATTAAAGAATCCGTGTTTCTGGATGTTTTTTTTTTTGAAAAATCTCAAATTTCCAGAACTTTTCTTTATTAATTAAAATACATAGAATCTCAGCTTCTCAAGATTTTTTTTTAACACAAAAATATAAAATACCTATCAGTTTTTCTTATTTTTTTCAAAAATTAAAAATGATCTCGGATTTCCAAACAAATTTTTAAAAATCGTGGGAAACCCTAGTAATTTTCCGAGTGTTTATTAGGGAGTAAAAAAAATCTTAAGAATTTCAGATTTATTTTCTTTTGTTTTTCAGGTTTCCGTATTTTTATTTAAGATTGAGAAAAAGTCTCAGTTTTCAAAGTTTTTTAGATAAAGAATCTGATGTTTCCACGTGTTGTTTTTTTTCGAGAGTTTTCTTTTTGACACAATTAAAAAGAATCGTGGAAACCCCACGTATTTTGTTTTTGAAAAAAAAATTAAAACCTCAGGAATACTCTTCTTTAACTAAAAAAATCTTAAGTTAACTTTAAGGGCACAACTTATAGTTTTGGAAATCCTCAACGCTTTGCTAAAAAAAAAAAAAAACTATAATTTTGATTGATGAAAATCCAGAATCTCCAATTGGTTTTTTTGCAAAAAGTTGAAAAAATCTCGAGTTTCCGAATGTTTTTTTTTTCGAAAAAATTTAAAAGATCCTTAGGGTTTCGTGTTTATGTTTTTTTTGTAAATGATAAATTTTGGTTTTTTTAAATGGCAGATTAACATTGAGACGACCTCTAGTGTTTTTGTGGGGTGTTTTTTTAATTGAAGAGAATTTCAGGTTTCCAAGCGTTTTTTTGCAAAAAATTGAGTCTCGGTTTTTCGAATTTTCTTTTCTCTTGAAAAAAATCTTAGGTTTCCACGTGCTTTTTTTATACAATATCGGGTTTTCGAGTTTTTTTTTATTTTTGTTTAAAAAAATACTGGAAAATCCTGCTTTGATATATGTATATATATATTTTTTTAATCTGGGGTTTCCGGGTGTCCCTTTTTTAACGGAATTGAAAAGAATCTTGGGAACGCCAGGCAGTGTCTTAAAAAAAATAGAGTTTTAATTGGAGAGAATTTCAAACTTCCAAGCGATTTTTTTTTGCAAAAATTTTAAAATCTCGGGTTTTTAAATTTATTTTCTTGAAAAAATTTCATGTTTCTACGTGCTTTTTTGAAAAAAATTTTAAAAATTACCGATTTCCGGATGTTTCTTTCTTTTAATACAATTAATAGGAATCTTGGAAAAGCGAGGTGTTTGTTTTTTAAAAAATCTCAGTTTTGATTAAAAAAAATCTCAAGTTAACATTTTTTTAATTTGAACAGTTTTGAGAATCCCTGGTATTTTGTTAAAAAAATCTACAGATTTCGGGTGCTGTTTTTTTAATTAAAAATAATACCAGATTTCCAAGGTTTTTTTTTCAAAAATTTGAAATCTCCTCGCATTCTGAATGTTTTTTTTTTAATTAGATATATTAAAAGTTTTAAACGACTGAAAATATTAAATTCTTTTTGGTAAATGGTTAACTACCGACTAAATATGGTCCAGAATCGATCATTGAAATATCGCTAATTTTATAAATTTCAAAAAATTCAAATTTCACACAGAATATTCCGAAACTATTGCTCCGTGACCATGAACATTTTATATTTATGGACTCAGCACGTCAAGATCTACATCCCAGGTTTTTTTGAGAATTTTTAGACAACTTTTTCAATGGAAATAAAATTTTCGTACAAAAAGTCATAATCGTAAAACATGACCTCAGATATGTTTTCTCAAAGAGAAAAAAGATCTCCTATTAATAAAAATTCTTTCAAATTTAAAAAGAGCTTAAAATGGCTTTTTCAACCGTCAACGTAAAATTCCATTTTGAGTTTACTATTAATTATAATTTTAGTGATTAATCATTAAATTATCAATTGTTAAATTTTTTACTAAAATACATTACATTTTACTTACAGCTCAGTTTTAAGTAACCCCCATCACACTTAAAAATATTTAATTTCAAAATTATATTACACCTTCAAAATTTTCAACACTACACCTAGAACACATTTTTCTTAAATCACTAATTACAGTATCAAAATCTCCTCGAATCACTTGTTTTTCGTCAATAAAAAATTTAGACCGCCATTGGTCCACGTACCAAAACTCGAAAACGCGCTGATTGGTCTAAGGGTGTCCCCACAATACTTAACCCCTTGCTCTTTTTGAATATTAATTACTCCTTCTTTTACACAACAGTTTTCCAATATTAATAAATTTTTAAACAAAGGGGTCACCAACAGAACAAAGAAATCGAGTAATTTTCCACACTTAAAAAAAATTATAAATTTTCACATGCTTCATTCTCATGAACAGCACACCATTTAGTGTCAGATAACCACAAAAAATAATCTAATAATAGGTCCTTTCCATTAATAAAAAATATAATAATGAACGGTTAACCCGATAATGTTCCACAATTTTTGAAATTTTTTAATCGCTTTTTAAAACTATCCCCAACGTGAGTAACACTCAATTTTCATTGGTTGGTCAAAAAGAGGACGGACTCTTCGAATTTTACGTGCGTTTAAATCCACAAAACTATTTAGTAAGTTGTGTCAATCCGCAATGAAGACATTCAACTGGAAATCAGAGGTCCAAAGCAACATTTTAGCCCTCAAACTCCTGGGTCTGTGGCCCAAGGGCGACGAAACCTACAAACGCAATTCCTACACCCTCTACGCCTCCTTCTGCTTTTTCGTGCTTAACTGCGGCCACAACTTCTTTCAAACCGTCAACATCTACTTCATCCTCGACGACCTAGAAGCTTTCACGTCGTCGATCTTCGTCACGCTGTCTTGCGTCGGAACGATCCTGAAATGCTACGGTTTGATTCAAAACATGGAAAATTTGAAGCAGCTTTTTGTGACAATTACAGGAGAAATTTTTCAGCCGAAAGGAGAGAAGCAGCAGAAGCTCGTGGAACCGAGTGTCAAGTTCTGGAGCCGGATTTATCTCCTGTTTAGAATAACGTGTTATTTTACTGCTTTTTTCTGGTCGACTTATCCAATCCTGGACAAGTCTTTCAGAGTACGGAGGCTGCCGTTCCTGTCTTGGTATCCTTACAATGTGAAGGTTTCTCCTTTCTATGAGTTTACTTACATGTATCAAGTTGTCAGTATTTGGTACATTGTGGCAGCTAGTTTGAACATCGACTGTTTAATTGCTGCTTTAAATATGTTTATTGGAGCTCAGTGTGACATTTTGTGTGATGATTTGAGGAATTTGGTGGCTACGAATGGAAAGGAATTGAAGGAGAAGTTGGTCAGGTGTGTCATCCATCACAAGGCGATTTTAAGGTAACTAGAAATGTATATTTTGGGACAAAATATCACAATTTGTTTTTTTTTTTAGTTTGGCTGAGAAATCTAACAAGTTCTACAACTGGATTGTCCTTTTTCAATTTTTCACTAGTGCGGTTTCTCTCGGATTCAGTATGTTTCAGCTGACGATTGTTGTACCACTCAGTAGCGAGTTTTATTCTTTCATCTGCTACGCCACTTCAATGATAGTAGAAATTTTCATCTACTGTTGGTTTGGAAATGAAGTCGAAATTAAGGTAATTATGATTTTGTATATTATAAATGGATCTACGTCTGTTAATTTTTTTAGAGTAGTATAATTCCCTATGCTGCTTTTCAATCAACCTGGGTTGGTTTACCGACGGAAATTCAGAAGATTTTGATTACCTTTACCTTGCGCACTCAAAGACCAATTAAAATGTCGGCTTTGAATTTGTTTTATTTGTCTCTGGATACCTTTAAATCGGTAAGTAGTTGGTGATAGCCAGAGCTGTTCAGTACTTCAAGTAAAAGTACTTGAAGTAATACTTCAAGTACTTTAAGTACTTCAAGTACTTTACTTGAAGTACTTTTATATTTAGGTACTTGGTACTTGGTACTTGGAGTATTTCTAAAATGTACTTGAGTTTAGTACTTGATTTTGCCAAGTACTTTACTCCAAGTACTTCACTCAGTATTTTAAATACTCTTGAATTACTTGAAGTATGAAAGTGGAAATTTCAAATACTTTAGTCTCTATTTTACGAAATTTTCACATCTCAAAATAGGGTCTGTTAAATACTTGAAGTTATTAATTCAATTATTTGATTACATGTATTTTTATAGTAAAATCGTGTTTGTTTCCTGTGAGGTTATATTTTGAACTGTGATTGTGGATATCTTATCCACAATATGACATACATTTCATAGGTACTTGCATAATGCTGATAGATAGGTAGGTAAGAAAATTAATGTCATAAATATGTCATTTGAGAGTGGATGACCACAGCAGAAGGGTCGGAGATCTGTGTAAAATTTTCAGCGATGTAAAGTTGTGAATATATGAATTTTGTCTTTTTTGTATTTTGGTCTGGAACTTAACTTTGCGGGTAGTTTTTCAGTACCTTCCCGGTACCCCAAAGGGAATCGGGTTTGTTGACGTACCTTACCTGCTAAAGTGTAAGGTCGGATTTGAAAATATTTGAGAAATGATTCAGTACTCGTTCAAAAAGATATTTATTCTTTCATTAGTTTATTAACCCCGTCGTGTATTTGTCAGTAAGAAGCCTGGTCAAGGCGGAGAACTCGGCAGGGGATTATCCCTTTTATTATAATAGCAATAGCTGATGGCAGGTACAGACTTTCATATTCGCCTCTTCCTCGTAGAATTTAAACACAATTTTATGTTAAATATTTTGCAATTTAATTTTCTTTATCATGTTAGTCACTCGTTTTTTACCAAATTTTCTTTTTTTGTTTATACATGGTTCAGCCATATAAACTTAGTTTGTTATTACTACTTATATTTTCTCACATTACAGTTTCAAATAATCTGTTAAATTGTATGAATTATTTGAACACCAACAATTTAAAAAGACGTAATGCAGAAAAACAATGATTTTAAAAGTCACACTAATTAGTGTCATTTATCTTTCCTGTGCAGATTTTATTTATTACCGTACAACAACTTTACGTATTACATTGCATCGCTTAAAACCCAATATTGTTTAAAATGAAATATGTTTTGTGAAACTCGGCTCGTAGTTTACCTACTAATGTTTTTTGTAATCCATTTGATACGACCATGATTGTATGGTTTTGATGAGTACCGAATTGTACTTTGATATTGCTCGAAGGACCTTTGTTTTGTTGTGTGCGAAATAATAGACAGCCTTCAGTTTCGATATTTAAATACAGGACGGTTACAGAAGTACTGAATTTACATTTGTATTTACAATATCAGGTAAAGATATCCAAAAGGATCAGTGGCCGCTTCCGGAAATGGAACAAAATACATATTCACATTATTAAAAAATACAAAGTTAATGAAATTCGCAATTAGTTAATATAATTGCCTAGATAAATACACCCCTACGAAATATTTTAACAATAATAAATTTAGTACATATTTACCTGAATTTTCGCAAAACCCGTTGTTAGGCATTCCCTGAAGTCATTGTAGCTATCAGTTACTAATGTCATCTTCTTTGGGTTTTCAGGTAAAAATAAAAAATAAGCCAATCGAAAATGTAAAGGAAAATTCTGAAAGTATTGTGGCATTAGAGGAACAAAATTTTCTATAAATGGACGGAACAGCATTACGAACCTATTATTTGTGATTTGTCAGTGTAAAGTTACATACTTAGTTAGACAAACATCGTAGTGATTAGTGTTTACTATTTAGTCACTGTAGTATTTAGGTTAATTTAATAATTTTTAGAATAGTAAATACGTAAGTGCTAGACAGATATATTCAGGAATATGGGGCATTCATTCCAAGAAAATTCTCAGCATTTTTGGTAACCGCAAAAGTAAAAAACGACTAATTACTTTGATCACCTTGATATTTTTCAAGAGTTATGGTTTTCGCTGAAAATGGACTCTCGTTTTAGGCATTTTATTTTTTATTTAAAAAATTCATACGTTTTTTTTTGAAAATGCAACATAGTGACTTAAACATTTTTATGTCACGAGCATGTATATGTATCGCACTGCTCTTAAAATTTTTTTCTGAAAAATTTCAGTTTCACAAATCCGGCCCTGTGCACTTTCACAATGGGTAATGATTAAGGGTGCTGTAAACTACCCACAAACTTAAACACGGAACTGCTTCATAAAATTCATATATTTTTAACACAACTTTATTAAAAAATCAGAACGTTTTGGTGATGAACCAAAATTCAAAATATTAAAAAAAGGCAACAGAACCTGAGAAAATACCATACAGCGCCGATGTTTTTGTTATAAATTAATAGTAAGCATACATAGACAACGCCGTCATGTATTTTATTTTAAATTTTAAATTAGAAATATACGTTAATTTTGTCGAAGGCATTGTGTCAACAGAAAGATGTAAAAGTATTTCAAAAGAATATTGTTTATAAATAACATAGTATTATTAATAAGTGAGCTACCATTCTGCATTTAAGTTGATGCTTATGCAATTTTTTATGTGGCGAAATATGTATTATTGTATACTTAAATTCTGAGTATTAAAAAATTCAGTTCTAAAATATATTAAGCTTTTTTAAAAAAACAGGAAAAGTTATCTAATTCTACAGTATTTCAAATAATTAGAAAGTACTTGAAGCATTTTCAGTACTTCAAGTATTTGTAAGTACTTGAAGTATACCTCCAGTACTTCAAGTACTCGTAAGTACTTGAAGTAATGTACTTGGCTTGTACTTCAAGTACATCTGAAAAGTACTTGATACTTGAAATACTCTTGCTGAAAGTAAGTACTTGGTACTTTACTTGAACACTATTTCAAGTAGTACTTTGTACTTGGTACTTCAAGTACTTTTTTTGAGTACTTTGAACAGCTCTGGTGATAGCTGGTAACAATTAAGGTTAAATAGTGAGATATGTTTTAGATTCTTCGTACTTCGTGGTCGTATTTTACTGTGCTACATCAAGCTAATTCAACTTAAATTAATTAAATAGGAATTTTGTACTTAGTAACACTAGCACTAGCCAAAAAATCGTTCTAAGTATTTGTAATATTACTAAAATTGTGTAATATTTATTTTAAAACTGATGTATGTGTATACAAGTTTTTCACTTAATACTTACTAGATTTTTTTCACAAATCTTGAATATTTTATATTGTTCTAGTTCATGTCCTTAGGTTAGGATTTAATTTATAGTGGTGAAATGTTAGCAGAGTTCGTAAGTCACATTTATATCATGGAAATAAAATACGTATGTTTTTACACGTGATTAAAAATTATTTTTTGTCAAATACACGAAGAACTGCCAAAGAAACAGTTTTCTTATTATTAAAAATGTTGATCTCTCTTTTTAAAATGGGCACGCCTTTATTTCAGAATTGTTTTGAAACTTTACTTAGTTTTTAAAAGAGAGTATTATTTTTCCAGAATGGCCAATATACAATATCCTAGGTAAGTTTTGGGGTATTTTAAAAATTTCAACTTAAAGCATATTACTTCTAGAATCTAACTCTAGAGTCATCATATTTTTCCATTCAGCTCGTCTATTTAAACTTTTAAAATTTTTTGCAAAGTTTGGATTAACTTGGACAAAAGCTCAGTTTTTCAACACAAAATTTTTGGCCTTTCCCGGGCACTTTTAAAAATATTAAAGAAGATTCCTTTGTTGATTTCAACATCCAGAAATTTTTTCGCCTTCATTTTTTCAAAAATTCCCCTAATTTGTTTCAGAACTTCCACTTTTTTACTATTTCACTTTGAAACTGAAAATCGGAAATCTTGGTCAGGTCAGGGTCGGGTTTCCCAACGTTCTTTTCTTGAAAAAATTGAAAAGATTCTCAGGTTTTCGATTTTTTTTTTATAACAAAAAAAATCAGATTTTTTTTTTAAATAAAGAGTCTCGGGTTTCCACGCTTTTTTTTTGCAAAAATTAAAAAACCATCTCGAGTTTCTGAGAGTCTTTTTTGACAGAATTATAAAGAATCTTGAAAACACCTGATATTTTGTTTTTGGAAACAATTAAAAAATGGCTACTTTTACTTTACCCTTTTTTAAGTAAAAAAATCTTGGGTTAACTTATTTTTAATTTAAAGTCTTGGGAATCCTCAGTATTATGCTAAAAAGTAAAGAAAAAAATCTATAGATTTAATTGAAAAAAAAACGCATCTCTTAGTGTTTTTTTCGTAAAAATTTGAAAAAATATCGAGTTTCTGAATATTCTTTTCTTGAAAAAATTAAAAAAAAACTCTGTTTCGATTTTTTTTTTAACAATTGAAATAAATTTCGGCTTTCAGAGTGATTTTTTTTAATGTCGCGTTAACATTTGTTTTCTTTATAGAAGTCTCGAAAATCCCTGGTGTTTTATTAAAAAGAATCTAGCGTTTTTGGGGCCTGTTTTTTTTTATTGCAGAGAATGTCAGGTTTCCAAGCGGCTTTTTTTGCTCGGATTTCTGAGTGTTTTGTTTTTTTTTTTAATTAATAGACATGTTAGGTTCATGAGGATTTTTTTTTTAATTATTTCGGAAATCTAAGTCCACCAATATTTAGTATTTTTTGCAAACTTCAACTTGGAGAAAAGCTCAGTTTTTCAACACAGAATATTTGGCCTTCCCCGAGCACCTTTAAAAAGTACTAAAAGAGTTTCTTTTGCTAATTTCAATATCCAGAAGTTGTTTTCGCCTTTATTTCTTCGAAAATTCCCGTAATTTTTTCAGAATTTCCAATTTTAGAATTTCAGTTTGAAACCGAAAATCGAACATCTTCGGGTCAGATTCTAGAATTTTTCAATACACCCCGATATAAAAATTTTGACATTTTTGGGAACCCGAGTTTCGGCTTCATTTCTTCCTATAATTCCTATAATTTTTTCTCCAAATCGAAAAATACAAATTTTTCAGATATACAGGGTGTCTCAGAAATAAGTACATTAATTTTAATCAGTTATAGAGCTCATTGAACTCAACAACTTTTTTTAGTAGAGTTTTGTCAAGAACTTTTTAATTATCAAGTTAAAAATTGTTAAAGTTATATCCCAATTAAGGTTACCCGCCCATGGATCCTTAGTCACCCATGGACACTAATAGTTATTATAATTAATAATGTATGGTCAAAAACAGTTACTAGGATACGTATTTTCCTAATCGTGTCAATGTGACAAACATTTAGAGAGAAATTGAAAATACTGCTCCCTAATGGCGTACGGAATTTCATCGGCCCAAATGTGAGTGTTGAACACCTTCCCTCGTGTAACCGACCTCATCAGTTGATGGTATAAGAGATACAAAATTTGCTTGTTCGTTTATTTTTCTATTAACCCACTTACAAAAGTTTTGCCTACGTGGTAAGTCTGTTAGTTTCAATAACTGAACTTTCTGGTCCTGAAAGGGGTACATTTGTTCTCTGAGTATCTTCCAAATACTACTCTCCGATACATCACACTAGAGAGTGATACGTACTAGTGCCCGGTCGAGCTTCGACACTCTTCAAAACAGCCTCTTCAATATTAGCAATTCTATTACTGCGTAACTTACCCCGATCCTGAGGTGCAGGTTTACAAGATCCGTACTCTCGAAAATGCTGTAACGTTCTTAAAACTGCGCACATTTGGCAGACGACGATTTGGGAGGTTTTCTGAAAAAATTCGTTGGGCGCGAGTGCCGTTTCCCCGAGATTCACCGTACGTTAAAACGATATCGGTGCATTCCAGATTTGAAAACAAAGCCATTTCAACACATTTCGTCTATAAATTAGAAATCTATGCCAAACAAACTTTAAAGAGACAACGTTTAATAAAAACATTGACATAAAAATGATTGACAGTGTCAAAACGGTTGCTAGGGTACCTTCTTCATTGTTGTAGTGTTGTTATTATTTGAGTTATTATTTAAGGTGAACATAGACGGCTCGTGAATATATGGGTGGGAAAATTCGAAATTCGACTTGAGTTTTCGAAAAAATGCTAGATAAAAAAGTTGTTCCGTTTCACGAGTTCTGTTACTGGTTAAAATTAATGTACTTATTTCTGAGACACCCTGTATATTTTAAAAATTTTACTTTGAATTCGAAAATCGAAAATCGAAAATCTTGGTCTAGGATTATCAATACAAAATGTTTTTCGAATTTTTTGTTTTAGTTCATCGAGAAATTTAAGGATTCTAAAATTTTTTGTGAACTTTATTGCAACTTCGGCAAAAACTTTCTTTTTCAATACACTCCGGTATACAATTTTTTACTTTTTTGGAAACACCTTCAAAAATTGTTGCAAGATCTGTTTTCGTTCATTTTGACCTTCAGAAGTTTACTTCGCCTTTATTTTTTGAAAAATTCCTGTAATTTTTACAGAATTTCTAAAATGAATTGTTCTAATTTTTAGTATATTTTAAAAATTTCACTTTGAAACCAAAAATCGCAAATCCTAGACAACGCGCAATATTTTTAGAAATTTTGTGTAATTTATGCAAAGTCGCCAAAATTTTAATTTTTCAATATATCCCCATATGACCTTCGCAAGATCTTCAAAAATTGTTGCAAGAGATCCTTGCGATAATTTTGACTTTTCGAAGATTGTTCACCTTGATTTCCTCGAAAATTCCTATAATTTTTCCAGAATCTCCAAAATGAAATGTGGTAATTTTGTAAAATTTTAAAAAACCCACTGTAACGGCGAAAATCGAAAATCTGGATCTAGGGTTATCAACTCACATTTTTTGTGGAATTGTCCAAAAAAAATTATGCAAATCTTTCGCTAATTTTTCAATTTTAAATTTCGGAAGTTTTTCGGGTCCATTTGCTCGAAAATTCCTGTAATTTTTTTAGAACCTCCAAGATGAAAAATATTAATTTTTGAGATATTTTAAAAATTTTACTTTGAAATCGAAAATCGAAAATCTTTATACAGGGTGACTGCGAAATAAGTGCAAATATTTTAACCACGGCATCCCCCACCCTAGTAGAGCCGAAATATAGAAAAAAGAAATTAAAAATCGAATGGGGCAAAACCCCCATGAACCACCCTCGATACGAAGGCACTGAGCCACCTTGTAAACAGAGTTGGAAAAACGTTTGAACAAAAACGACCTAAACACTTTCAGTTTCAATTAAAAGTAAAACCGACTTTTTGCTGCTTATCATTCGTTCATTCATTTACTCATTCATCGTTAAAGGTCAGTGTGAAAGTTTTTTGGTAATTTTGATTCTGACGGATGTTTGGTCCTTGTCACAACGATTTTACGTTGTTTATTGGAACAGAAATAAGAGCAACTTAGAATGCTACTACCTTTTTACAAGAAATGTTGAAAATGTTGTCCTTGACTAGCAATACAGGCGTCAGAGCGTCGCAAGAGGTTTGTTGATAGGTAAAAAAACACCGGAGTAGCGGGTGTCACTTTCACTTGTTGAAGCTCTTCGATAATTTCTGGACACTGTTGATTTCCACAAACGAACTGTTTCATCCAACTGATACACATTTATCGAAAACCGTCTCTTGAAATCGTACTTGTTGACGACTACGTGGAGTTCCATCGGACAAAAAGTGAGTTACACAAGGTGGACAATCAGCGGGCTCCAAACCCTGTACTTTGTCAACATGGTATGGATGTGGCCGTATTCTTTTAATGTAGGATGCACTACAAGCTGTGAAAATCCAACTTCTTCTTTCTGTCCTATCACGGCCACGATCGTGAGTTTGAGGTTGAAGGTACCATGATCTCGGAGATGCTGTACCACTGATGCACCCATTACCATATCGACACAATCTGCATGGGAAAACTGCACCATAAACCGATTTCACCGACCGCTCGATGCTAACTGGCCCTTTTCGTGTTTTTCACGTTGCGATTAAAAAAGTGCCTGATAAAGTAACTTTTTTGGTTCTTTAACCGACTCGCTCTGTTCCATTCATTGTAGTAATTATGTAGGTCACAAAACAGTCCAGCGGCGCGTACAACAATTTACATTGAATTTCAAATAATTTTTTCTAGACA